CACTGCACCGGGCATGGGGCACAGCACCGGGACTGCACCGGGCATGGGGCACTGCAGCGGGTATGGGGAACGGCACTTGGCACTGGGACTGTACTGGGCATGGGGCACAGCACTGGGCACCGCATTGGGCTGTGGGTGCTGTGGACATGGGGTACTGCACCGGGCACCGGGTGCTGCACCGGGCACGGCACCGGGCACCCACAGTCCAGGCCCAGGGCCAGAGCCAAGCACGGTGCCAGGCGTGCCGCTGGCAGGGCCATGTTCCCCCAGCCCTCCCTGCCCGAGCTGCGGCAGCTCCAGCACCCACCAGTCCCATTTACCCCTCGCCATCACCCCACGCAACGGGCGCTCCCTTCCCAGCCACGCGCCAGTGCCGGCAGCGCCGAATCCACCCGCCCCGGCTGCAGACACCACACCGCGGGCTCATCGCAAGGAACAATTTTAATACAACATAAAACTTCCCGAAGGTAAGAACAGAGCTGGGCGCTGGGCAGGAAGACACGGTCCCCTTGGCTTTTAAGATATTTTCCATTAAAAAAATCCTTTTCCCGCCATATCCACGCTACCGGTGTGCAGCTGAACCCTCCTTTCCCACAGTGCCGGTGGACACGGGGTGCCCGGTGTCTCCCCCAAATCCCGCTGCCTTCCTGAGACCTTAATACAGACGGTGGAGGAAGAAGCAAACGAAACGCCGAGCAGCTCCGGCTGCTCGTTTTTTGGGGTTAAACGGCGCCGGTTTAAAGGCAGGAGAAGCAGGATACGGAGCCTGGCACAAACCGCACGCGCACAAAATATCCAACACGCAGCCAAAAAATCCGTTGGCTGCATTGGGGTAGGAAATGCGCCCGTCGGCAGTGGCGCGGTGATGCCCGACGGCAGGGGGGTCAGCAAACCGGGGACGGTCCCCCCCATCGCCAGCACGGTGCTCAAAGCACCGGGGCGGCAAACCGTGGCACAGGGGAAAAGCCGGTACATGCATTGTCAAATGGAAACGTTTATATCATAGAAAACAGTAGAAATGGAGGGGGGAAATGCCAGGTTGAGCTGTAGTTTGCTGGATAAAAAGCGACAGGGGAGAAGAGAGGGATGAAATTTCCAAATTACAAATGAAGCAGCAGCACAGGCGCTCGCTGGGTTGGGTTTTTTAAAAAAAAAAAAGAAATACTGGCTTTTCACGGATGTCTGTATGCACCCACCGACAAATGCCGCGGGCTGTGGTGGCAGAAGAAATGCAAAAAGCAAAGACCGACCCTAAAAATCCCATTAGTATTCGCATCCGATTGCTGACCCCACGGGGAGGTCTCTGCTTTTCCCGCCTGGAAGAGCTGATGGAGCCGGGTGGCTCCAAAAGGTTCCAAATAAAAGAATTAAAACCTTTACATCCGCTGTACGCTTATAAAATGAACCATATGCATCATCATACGATGAACCATATGCATATAAAATCACCCATATGCATCCCAGCTCGGGCTGCCAGCGTTTGGGGGATGTTGCTGTGGGTTTTGGTTTTTTTATTTTAAATATTACAATTACCCCTCCTGACGGGGGTTTCTTAGGAGATTTGGGGTGTTTCCAGCTAACACTGACGTTAAAGTGGGTCTTTGCAAGGTTAGAAAAGAGCCTGTCATCCGGCTGGGAGCTGGGAGACGCACGGAAAAGCCTGGGACCCCTCCTGGGGCCGAGTCGGACCCTGTGACGGTCCTGCACTGCCCGTTTAGCTTATAAAAAGTAATAAATTAATTAACGAATATTTGCATCGAGTCCTTTCTATACACAAAGGCTGGGGCCCTGCCGGGGAAACGCCGCCACCGGAAAAGCTCCCGCGTCTCTATAAAAATATGAGCATCTTTCGGGGAGTACAAAAAGCCTTCGGGGGAGGCGAAGTGCCGGGGTGCAGCCAGCCCGGCCAGCGCCGACGTCCAAAATGGCTCCGAGGACGTTTATCTCACGGATACGCCACACGGGATGGGTTTTTCGGGGAGGCGGTGGGATGCTGTGGGGAAGCTGAACCATCCGTGGGTGCCGGCGTGGGGCTCAGGCGTGTTCGGCCCCGCTCCACGTGCTGCCCCGGGGTGCCGGGAGCCGAGCACCCGCTGGCTCCTGGCCGTGAGCCAGCAGTGCCGGCGGCACCCGCGGTGGTTGCCGGTGCCTGGTTGCTCTCTCCCCGCAGTTCCGATGCTGCCGGGAGCCGCGGTCCCGATATTCGCACCCATCCCGCCGCGGCGATGAGATGCTGCCGTCTGGCTGCTCGGTGTTGCCGATGGGGTAGGAGCCCTGGCATTCCCACTCGGCTGCCGCCGGCTCCTGCTCGTCGCTCTCGGAGCCCTGCACCGCGATCTGCGGGACCGGGCTGGGCTTCGGCTTCGGCTCCACGCCGGCCATGCCGCCGCACTGGAGAGCTACACCCTGCCCAGCTTCGCTCTTGCCGCTGTCTTCGCTTGCCGGCACCGTCTCCGGTTCATCGAAACTCACTTCTTGAACCGCTTCTTGCTTCTTGAAGGAGTCCCGGCGCTCAGAGAGGTTCAAGCGCCGCATGACCACCACCTCCTGGTCCCGGTCGTGCCTCTCCCCAAGCCGGGAGCCGGCAGGGTGATAACCGTGCTCCCCGGGGTACGCCGACGCTTCGCCATCCCCAATGGCTTCCCCATCCATCGCTGGCATCTCCAACCCCAGCTTGCGGCCGCCGCCAGTTTTCTTCTCCGCCAGGATAGTGACGATCTTCTCGGCCGACTGAACGCGTTTGAGGAGAGGGGAGCGGGGGCAGTCGGCGCTGCGGGGTCGCGAGCTCTGCCGGACGATGGTGGGGGGGGACAGGGTCTTGCCCTGAAAGGAATGGGGGGTTTTGGGGTACCCGGGAAGCGGAGACGGGGAGCGCTGGGGAGAAGGCGGGCGCTGGGCGGAGGAAGGGGTGCAGGCGAGGGGTGAGGGGGGGATGCTGCTGGTGGACTTGCGACGTCCCACTTTGTAGCGTTGCCCACCCAGTTTGGGTGCCAACCCGTGCAGGGAGCTGGGGCGCACGTGGCCGGCGGGCGACGTTGGGGTGCTGGAGGAGGGAGAGGTGCTCTGCGGGGACGCAGCATCTGCCGTACAAAGAGAAACAGGTCACCGCGAAGGATGGAGGGACATGTGGCATCCCCGCCTTGCCCGGAGCAAATATCCCCCCCCAACCCCGCCGTGGGTTGGGGTACCTGGGGGCAGGTCGGGAGCGGGGCTGCGGCAGGGTGTCGCGGGACCCGGGGACAGGCTGTGCGTGGGGGACTCCGGGAGGCTCTCGCTGGAGGAGAGCGAGTGATGGAGACCGGAGGAGAAGCTGCGGCTGGTGTGGAGGACCGACGACTGCTTGGAGATCTTCTTGAAAAGGGATTTTCTCCTGGGGGAGGCAGGGGGACAAAGGTAGCAGGAAAGGAATAGCCTCGGCTTCTCCTTAAAGCTGGTGGCCCTGAGTCTGCTCAGCTGGTGCCAGTAGGACTGGAGCCCACTGGACACCCCAGTGTGACAGAGCCGGAGCATTCCCCCCCAGCTTCAAGGACACGCCGGGAGAAATGCCATTTTATCCCGCTCCGGTTCTACCCACCTGTCCTGGCCGTCCCTTTTCCTGCTCTTCTTACTTCTCCGCGCCATCCTCGTCTTGGAACTGTTTTTCCGAGCAGGGCCGATTTTAATGGAGGTGTTCTCCAGGGCGGTGGTCCGCAGGGCCACTTTATTCCCACTCTGAGGGATGGAAAATGAATTGCTGCAGCGTGCCGGATCTAAGCACCGGATCCAAACTGGCTCCTGCCTCGGCTGCTGGCAGAGGCGATGCTGGGGAGCCACTGGATTGATGCACCAGTCCCAGGTGAGCAGAGCAGTGCCGGTCACCTACCTTCAGCAGCAGCTCCACGACGTCCCGGTGAACTAAACCCAGCACTGACTCGCCGTTCACATGTGTGATGAGATCGCCTGCTCTCAGCCCTGCTTCCTGCGCAGGGCTTCCCTCTTCCACGCTCTGCAATTGAGAGACCAAGGTTTTATTTGGGTACAAACCGAAGTTTCCTCTGGGGGTTTTCCCATCAGGAAACACGGTGTCTGGCACCACCAGTCCTTCTCCACGTGGAGCCCAGGCCACGTACCCAGACCATATGGTGGACAGTATAGACGTCGCTGTCCCCCATGTAGACGCGGATGGCTCGCAGGGTGAAGCCGTACTTCTTGCCCGAGCTATGGATGATGATGGGGGGCCGCAGGCTGGCGATGGCGAGGGATGAGTCTCGGCTTGGGGAGGAGTCACGGGAAGAGGGGTTGGAGGAGAGGGAGTGGGGGGAGATGGGGCTCATCAGGGCACCGCCGCCAAAGTCATCTGCAAGCGGGAGAAGCCAAGCTCAGCCTGGGAAAACCACATGGCAACCGCCATCCAGCAGGATAAACCGCACGGCACACAGACCTGAGGTGATGATGAGGGACAGGGCTGAGACGGAGGCAGATTTGGGGACACGGCTGCCTGGCGAGGCTCTCTGCTTGTCTGGCACGTCCTTCTGGCTGCCCAGCCGACGGCTCCCGCCCGGCTCCAGGCCCCGGGGAGTTGAGTTTTTGGTGCCGGTGCTATTGCTCCGGAGACGGATACGGTTCAGGCTGACGAGATCAGCTGCACAGAGGGGAGGAGGGAGAGTTTGGGGACATAGAAAAGCCACCC